ATTAAATTCAAATTAAAAAAATTCAAATTTTTTAATTTGATTTCGAGCTCAGGTAGTATCGACTCCTAAGTGTCACTTACCTCTTTTTACCATCCAACCGTCAATATAAACAGCAAATATATAAATTTTTATTAAATCGACTTAAAAAACACCCTATAGTATGAATCATTAGATATCCAAAGTGTAAACAAAAAATATCATTGTCAAAGTGTGAATGCAGATGTACTAAACCTTCTATTTTTAACGGATTCGGAAATTCGGAGTTGTCATTTTCTACAATTATTTTAATTAACTATTACAAAAATATTAACAATGAACAAAAACTTTAACAACAACACACAATAATCTAACAAATGCACTACGGAGACAAGAAAACATTCGAGTACGAGACACGAAGCACGATTGACATCTATGACACGACAAAATGGCGGCACAAAAAATGTTTTTGATCCCGATTGAGTTACAAGTGTCATAAAATTATTTATAAAATATACCTATAAAAAATGGGACGAACAAGTCGTGTGCCTGGTGGAAAGCGACACGTCTATCCATAACAATTGCAGTGCTACTCAGAGCTTTAAATCGCAAAGATCTTAGGGGCACTGCGCCCGTCGAGTCATGTCTCATGTGCCTGTAATTTCACCAAAGCAGTTACCTTGACTTCATTTTATTCAATTTTTTTTCAAAAAAAAAACTGAATTTCAAAATGTATTTTTTTGCTCGTTTATACTCTTTGTTTGCATTTTGGACGTCTAAATTATGTTTCATACTATAAGTAATTTTATTGGGCTTTTCAAGGATTAAGTGTAGGCTATCAAGTTCGTAAGGAACTAGGCAGGTTTCACAGCGCTCCGCTCCAATGATCCGCGCGGACGGGCCGCAAACAAATCTGCACTGCTCTGAAACCAGCCTAAGAACACGTCAAGTTTTAACGGTTAATCTCCTAAGGCGCCGTGTACATCAAAATGTACACATAATATGTGAGATTATTTAGACAATGTCATTCCTATGATCACGTAAACGCCCAATGTATATTAAATTGAAATTATAGCATTCAAATTTGGCTCTATATATTTCATTATAACCGTAAGGTGTCTATATTAAAAATAATCGAGGATGATCCCTGTGACAGTTCATGAAAATCTACACAATCTAACCTAGTGACGACGTGCAATAATTTACGTAATCATAAACTATTTTTAAAAGCCTTTTAAATCAATAAATAGCCTTTGTTTAAGTAAATACATTGAATTAAAGTAAAAATTACACCAAATCAATGTTTACTTGTAAGAAATGAGCAAAAAAACACTTTTTTTCAAAAATTATTTAGTTTTTTAGACGTGACAACGTGAAAAGGGTACTTCATTATACTGCATTTGCTAGAGACGAGGTTTTCGATAAGTCATCGATAACTTAACGAATAAATGTATAGTGCGTGTATTCATTTTTAAAATATTAATCATAGGCACTGAATTAACATGCAAGGTTATTACTTTTTAAAACCCACAAACTAGTAATAAATTTACCAATATTTCTATTGAAAATGCATTTGAATTGAAATTGCGTGTTTTACGCCTTTGATAATACATAAAAAAAAACTATAAGACAGAACTTTTACCTCGATCGACTTTATCGACTTTACCTCATCCCTATGACAAACGTCAAGTGTCAAGGGCGCGTACATATTTGGCAAATGCGCCGTAAGTGCGCCAGTTTGCGAAAGGAGCGCGAGCTGCGCACATGTATTACGTACATTCGCGCGTTGCTCGTGCGCCACGTATTAACATGTGTTTAACTGCATGCATGCAGCGCATTCGCCAGATCATCCAAGTTTGAGTTTAGTATAGAAAATTAGTCTTTCACACAAAACTGAGGGCGTACTTGTTGTGCCTGATGCACGTAATTATATTTAGTATTATTTTAATATACATTGGTCGTTTAGCGTTTTTTCCATTGAAATTTACTGGGACTTAGGAGGTTAAGCTTTAAATTCCACTACTTGACGTGCTCTTTAGTTCCGTAAGGTTGTTAAGGAGGCATAGATATGTCCTTTTTAATAAATAGTAGTTTATGTGACTGTTACATAATGAAAGGCATTAAAATACCAGTGTGGGTTCATAAAAACATCACACGAGCGTTTTAATGCCTAATTATGTACAGTTACATACACTGCTCTATCTACACACATATTATAAGCTCTCTATGATGTGTTCAGGAACCGCATGTAATTCATAGACAAACTAGAGTCGGCCCCAACTATCATATCGTTCGATATCAAGTAACGTGTGTAATTTGTCAAAATTGTTCGCTATTGACATTTCATTTCGAATATAACTTCATCTCGACTGATATTAGAATTGAGGTCGAATCAAATTGTTTTGTTTTTCAGAGATATTTGAAATTTGAATGTCATATTAAAATCGAATTTGATGTTATTATTAAGCAATAACATTTTCACAGATAAGAAATTTGTTCTAACAAAACAGTTTATCTTTATGCTGGTCGTAATTTACTTCATAGAGGGTTTATGATACGTGTGTAGATAAAATGCATTAAATGCCCGCTCTCATAATTGCGCTATAAGGTCGTTTTTATCAAGAGCTTATTTATTGCAAAACATACTGTACAATTCTCAAAAGGTGCCATTGGAAAATGTCCTATTCGCAAAAAAAAACGAAAACAATTTGGTCTCTTTAACATAAGTAACGTTATCGACATTTTTAGCGGATTAACTTATTAACATATCGCACTATTATTACAATAGTGTTGTAACTCAATATCGTTACTGAAAGTAAAATTCGATTCTCTACACGTCAATAAAACCGTCGTTAGAATATTGAAAGAAACAATTAAAATATATCTAAAGAAGAGAAAGAAGTTGAAAGACCAAGTACAAAGACACGACGCAAGCACATAGAGAAATTCGTGAGGTCCGTTGGTTCGTTCCGTGGCTTAGTTGGTATAGCGTCTGGCACGGTATGCAAGAAGACGTCGGTTCGAATCCGACCGGATCGAAGGAATTTTTTCTGAGTGTTCGATCTTTGTATTAATAATTATAACAAACTAGTGGAGTAATTTCACAAAAAATAATTGAATATCAATTCAATAAAAATTTAATTAAAATATATCTACTTAACTCAAAATAAGACACACTTTATGTAAGCTAGTTCTGGCCAAAAAAATTGTTATTCAAAAATATGAAATTATATTTTCCTTTTTATTTTGAAATACATTTGGCAAGTAGGAAATAGTTTCAGCGTCTGTAATAAACTATAACCTAATACATAAACTAGTTTAATGATCTATCACTGGAAGTGAGTAATTAGTTTTTCATCGATTCTGAGGAAATACACTTTTTGAGTTAATACACAATTGTATTCACAGTGCGACATCTGCAATCAGCAAAACGAGATCTACAATTCCGTCTAATCAATTTTGTTATATCTTATTTAAATTCAGTTTTATTGTCAAGCAAGATTAAAGTAACTGAAATTTTGCAAAGACAAAAAACAACTTCAAGTGCCAATACCTCGAAAGTTATCAAAGTGCGAATACGTTTGTTATGACAAGGAGGGCAAAAATCTGCATAGGTCTCATTTCCAATTCCAACGTGAAATAAACTCTTGTTTAATGTAGAAAATGAAACTATTTGTCCCGACTTAAATCGCGTATATTTGTTTTTTCTAACAAACAACGTGGTCACGGTTGATTCAACCGAAAAATAGTTTCATTTCCTATGTATAACAATCACGAAAACCTTGTTCGATGATTAAAAATAAAAAAAATCTGATAAATTGGGAGTTTTTGCGAATAAGACATTTTTTGAATTTCAATGAGCTTTTACAATTAAAACCTAGTAGTTACTTTGTGATAATCGTCCTGTGAAATTATTTAATAATAAAATTATTTAATAAAAACACAATTTTTAATAATAATAGTTATCTATTTCTAAATATATTATATATATTTATGCACATATGCTTTTATATTTATTTCATAATATCGAAATTCATAAAAATTTATCGCACCACGTCGGTACATAAAACACATCGGATTCAACAGTGACACAACTCAAAAATGACAAATGTACAGGGTTATTTGTAAAATACGAGCAACCTCGCAGGACTGTAATAGTAACACCATAAACAACAACTTTTATTCCATGACTTTTTTCAAAACATACAAGGTGTAAAAAGACCCTTAACGAAGCCGAAATATATGCATAGCAACAACAACAACTTTAATTTTTAGGTATTAAAATCCAGCTTTTTTACGACGCGCAATGTACGGCGTGCAACAGAGTGCTTGAGTGTTTTCAATCCGCGTTGTCTGAACGTAGCAAATGAACTGCTTGCTAAGCTAGATGACCTTGAAGTCTTCTTAGAATTTGGCTGCTGTTTGTTTGGAAGAAACTAATAACATTCATCTGATTAGCTTTCCTACATCTCAAAGGCCGCCTTTGCCCACATTAGTTTTAAGCTGTCTATGTACTGTTTTTGTTAACGTGTAGGAGCAATAAAATGTATATCTAGCTATCTAACATTTCAAAACAGATTCGTAAAAAATAGGAAAAAAAATTTTGACTTTGGCTCATAATATCTTCATACAGGAAAATATTAATAACGATAGGAAGAATACGTAGTTCTCATTTCCGTTAAGAGTCTTTTTACACCCTGTATAAAATTTCATAACAAAATTTACCTAAAATAAACTTAAATTTTTTTGTAGAACACTTTTTAGATATGCATTACGCGCGTTCATAAAAATAATTTTGGTGGTGGGCGCTAACTTTTGCTATAGCACAAAATTATCATTTATTTTTGTATGGCCGTAAATACCTGATGTATTATTAAGTAATTGAATAAAAGTTGTCGTGTATGATGTTAGTAATACATAGTTAGTACTTTGCATGTAACCCAGTATAATGTATAAATTCTGGCGGTACTTTGCAGAAATCCATATTAATATAAATGGAAGTAAATTACTTTGCTACGTCGCGAATGCAACCTCATCATGCAAAATAGCTGCGCTGTGTTGTTCTCGCACAACTGACGACCACCGACAGCCACACACCGATCTCGCCCATTTCATATTAATAAGTAACCAATTGTTGAATGACAACCGATCGCAGCGCACTAGTCCCGCCCATTTTCGGAAATAATCAACCTATTAATTTATCCAAGTTTTGCAAAACATTATGGTAAATTTCAAACCTCGGATTTGAATCCGGAAAAACACCTCAGAGGTGCGAGGCTGGATTCAAACCCACGGCTTCTGTTTGAGTCAAACTATTACACAGCCACGGCTTTTATATTTATATACTTCAAAATCACATGACATGACATGACATGATGACATGATCTATGTTGTGATTAAAATAATTTATTTATATCCAAATTTGAAGATGGACTTCTGCATAGCTTTAAAACCTGGCAACTTTGATATGAATCACTTTTAATACACACTTTAGTTCTATATAAGTGCAGGCCTCCATAAAATTTAAAAGCATATGTACACGAAACAACACAGCTTACAACCTTAAAATTACGAAGTCATCATGTCATTGACAGACGAACTTGTGTTCACCGATGTGCCTTTTAACAAATCGTTAATATCTCGTCTAAACATGGAGAGATTTTGTGTGAATCTGAAAGCAAAATATAGTTCGTTACTTGATTTTCCCTTGATGTCCCTCGTAATTTAATTGGATGATCTAAAGACGACGACTGTCGTTCTAACTGTTCCCATTATCGCGACAGCGGACAGTCTGTTGTCGTAACGATAAAAAAAATCGTGAACGACAGTTAATCATGTTGTTCTATGTGTGAACGTCATTTAAATATCGACGTTGAAAAGCGATCTTGTCGTATCTCGAAAAATAGGCCTTTACATCAGACTTTCAACTAATTCAAATTAAAGAGAAATAATTTTGTGAAATAGATTTTCGGCACTGGTGTAAAGGCCTATTTTCTATTTCTATATATAAACCACGACACTTTAAACAGCACGACTATCCGTTGTCACGACATAATGGGAACGCACCCTGAAGGCCAGTTTTCTTATTAAGAGGGAGCCGAGGAAAAGTTCCTAATTTTCGATTTAATTTTAGAGGGGTATATCCACTTTAAAGTTAAAAATAAAATATTGTATAAGTAACTACACGATATATTCAAGCATAGACACTAATCAGAAACATAAAACAATAAAGTTTCCTCGATAGATAAAAATCACGAAATTACCTCTAATTTTCACATTTTTTCGATTCATCCTCGAAATGCTACAGGTTATTAGGACAAAAATTAGATAATTAATTATATTTATGCATGATCGAGAACTGTCACTACCGATTTTTTTTTTAATCCCTTTAGTTTTAGAGTTATTCCGCTAAGACGAATTTTGGTACTTTTAATGCGCAAAATTCAACATCTCCTGTCGCATGCCACGCGAACTTCAGGCATATATTTGTGTCACAAATGTGGGCGCAGCCAACGTCAAGTCTATTTTGGCATGCTCCCTCTTAAAAAAGTTATTCAACCATAATTTGATTTAACAATTACCTATCCCTGTTTTTGGTGAGCAAGTTCGGTTCGATGCCAGCCATGAGTCCCGTGAACCACTGCGCCAGCTGCGGCTGCTTATCCCTCGGCTGCTGCGCGATCATCTCGCTGCGAATGCGAGAAAACTGCTCCTCGTTGAGCAGTATTAGCCCCAGCAGGGGGCGCGACATTGACCATTGGTTACAGCAGTCTTCGAACATTATTACGTTTAACACCTGAAATATAAGTTGGGTTTTTAATGATATGACGTCAAGTGACGAACAAGTCGTGTGCCAGGGCCCCAAGTACGCAAATTTTAAATAATCTCAGTTGTGTAGACAGTGTCAGAGGCAGGTTTTTATACGTTTGGTATTCTGCTAAATGTTAAGAGTAGTGACTTATCAAAGGCTAGCGCTAGGCATCGAGCTACTTATTCAACTGCGATCATTTTTTGAGATATCTTAAAAAACCATAACCCAGTTTTAGAATATTGCAATTGTTTAATGATATTTCAGCTATGCATCGTTTGGGTAATTTCCGATAAGTCGAATAATAGAAGAGAATTTTGTGCTCTATTTTTTGCTATTTGAAACGGTTATTTAACCATTTGTCACTTAGCCACGTTTTAGTTAAGGGATAGATAGATAGCTCTAATATTTTTTATTATTTTTTATTTTATTGTTTAAAAAAGTATACATAAATATTGTAAAGCACAGTTAAACCCACAGAAGAAAAAACAATGGAAGTGCCTTGAGCTTTGTTTACTATCAGAACCGACATCGCCAACTCACACGTTTTTAATTTGAAACACTACAAAATCTTGATGATGACTGGCCGTAGTTACAAATTCAAAAATAAATAACAAATTCTGGATTGTTAATATAATTTAAGCTTTACCCCGTTGACATATAGTTGAAGTTTAATACCGTCAACACCTATTATTGCAAGTTACTACGTTTTGACATCATATTGAAATTTTAATCAATGTGTGTCAAGATGTCACATCTAGCGGTTAATTGCTGAACGACGACGAATTAGAGTTATTAATTTAGTTCTCCAAAAAAGAAGCGAGCATATTGCATAAGCTTTACTTTCGTTTCTTGTAACAAAAAACATATTTCTATAAACAGAAAATTTATTAAAATGAGACTGGCCGATGATGTGAACTACCACCACGGGTAATATTTTCATTTGTGCAGTCCAAAACAGCACAATAACGCATTTTTCTACAATTTTAGAAAATTTACGCGAAATAATTGACACAACCAAAGCGTACAAAGCCAAAATGGAGAACTGAGCTCAAGTAGGTCTAACGAGGCCCACTGTTGGCACGCATGAGATGCTAACTAACCACTTCTACTGTATTTATTGTTCTGTGGTTAAACTCTACTTAGGTTTATGTCTACGCCATTCCATTCCTTCTGCTACGAACGAACTAACACAAAATATAAAATAAAAAAAATCTTAAAGTAGGTACACATTTTTTTATCTTTATTTGGAGGCATACAATTTGTACAATAAGCGAAGACGCGACAGCAAAGTACGCTGTTGCGGCTCTCCGTCCAACCATTTATTTAAATTTCGACATATGTATGCCTCCGAAGTTCCGTAATTATTGATATACAAGCAGTAGCTTAAAAAAGTGGAATAAATGATTATCTGACTTTGACTTTTTTCATAATACATTTCTTTTTTAAACTAATATATTATAAAAAAAATAACACAGTATATGCTCAATTGTGTTAGCTTATGTTATCATTATTATAATTCTAAAAATACTTTACTCTAGTGGATGAAAGTTGTCCAATAGAGCATTTATTAATAAACCATATCTTTTGAAAGGGAACGCGCGGGGTCAAGATCAAATCGCACGTCTCATGGAGGAATGACATAAGTGGAGTTACGTTAAAAAAGTTTATTGCTCCATTAGATACAGAAAAATATAACCCACTTCCTCTCCAATTCTTGAAACTTCAGCGACTAATATTGTAGATAGAGTTCAAGAATTAAAGAGGACGTGGGTTATATTTTTCTGTATCTGATGGAGTTATAAATATGTTTACGTAACTCCACTTATGCCATTCGCCATTGCGGAGGCTTCTAGAATGAAGTCCCCTTGCTTCATAGACATTTATTATCATTTTATGTTACAATGACTTTCATCGATATTAAGTACTGATTATTATTATTATTTTATTTTAATTATACCAATTATGAATTTGTTTACAATTTTTTCTAATTTTTTTTTTAGTTACTAATTATACATTCACCTCACAATGTTTTTGTTTTTGATGCATAGCAACGCGCTACCCTCGAAGGTGGTGGCTGAAAATCAGTGCCTTGCTGTTGAGCAAATTTTGCACTGAGTTACGACCTATTGGCTTGCTTTAGTATACACAAGCTGTTGATAATTAGGTTAGTATTACGTTTTTATGCTTTTTTTCTTCTTTTTAATTTTGATTTCTGTGTGTCTCTTTTAATCAATTTACTCTATTATATTGTTGTGTGTGTGATGCAAGACAATAAACGTTTTATCTATCTATCTATCTATTTATCTATCCATTCTTCCATAAGGGGTGCGAAATGTCATATAGAATCACGATCGATCCAATAACAATACCTAATAAGTTTAAGGTTTACAGTTTTTAGCAGTAATGAGACATTTATTATTATTATTTTATAATGTCAAGTGAAGGGACGAACAAGTCGTGCGCCTGATAATAAGCTACACGCTTGTCCATAACACTTGCAGTGCCACTCAGAGCTTTAAATCGCCAAGATCTGAGGGGCACTGCCACTGCGCCCGTCACCCTGAGACGTACGTTGACGGCAGTACTTCCCTGGACGAACTCTTTCACAAGAAGCCCTACTGCTACTAAAGAAAGATATTTTCGCTTTCAAACGTTTAAAATGTTTTATACCACTTTTTGTTACATTGGAGCGGAGAAATAGGTTTAAAATTATGAAATTGTTCGGTTTTATGTCAATTTCGATAATATTTGACAGTTTGCAGAAAGAAAAACAGCATTTTATTTTTTTTTAATTCTTATGTAAGGGGTCAAAATTCCGACCACAGGTATGACTCGCCATGCAGGCATCACTTGCCTCAAAGTAACGTTTTCTGTTGTTCATGCACAAACTTATTTAAATATTATACTAACTGTATGTTAGATAAGAATAGTCTTGTTACTGAAATCTGTTCCAATCCATTTTGAACTTAAAATATACAAAACGGTTTTGTTAAAATTTTAAAGCAATCATTAACAAATCGAATATGTAAACTTTCACGCGAATTTCGAAGATTTCGATATGATATTTGATCACTTTTTCCAAAAATATTCATTTTCATAACATCGTGAAATCGTATTTAAAAAATGGTAGGCCAAAAGTGAGGATATTTTTTATTTAATTAAATATATACGAATAGTCTATGGCTGCACAGTGTTGCATAGAAATAGCAGCTTGTGTATACAGCTTATGTAGACTGTATACTATACACTATAGAGTGCATCACACTCACTTTATACACTGCTTTATCTATACACATATTATAAGCTCTCTATGATGTGTTCTGGAACCGCATGTTACGGATGGCGAAATGGCGGCAAATAAAAACTTTTCTAGCGCATCTCACGCAACCGTAATTTTTATTTAATTCATAGACAAACTAGAGTCGCCCCCAACTATCATATCGTGCGATATCAAGTAGGTAACATGTGAAATTTGTCAAAATTGTTTGCTATTGACATTTCGTTTCGAATAAAACTTAATATCGATTCTCGACTGATATTAGAATTGAGGTCGAATGAAATTGTTTTATTTTTCGGAGATGTTCGAAATTTGAATGTCATAATAAAATCGAATTCGATGTTATTATGAAGCAATAATAACATTTTTACAGATAAGAAATTTGTTCTAACAAAACAGTTTACCTTCATACTGGTCGTAATTTGCGGTTTTTGAACACATCATAGAGTGTTTATGATATCTGTGTAGATAAAAAAACATTCGGTTCATTCAATGAAAGTTTTTGTAATGGATTAGTAAATCGAATATTTCAATCACAATTGAATGATTATCTAAGTGTAATGATTTTAAGGAGGACTTAAAATTAAGATTTTGCAAATATCAAATATGCTTTTATAGATTATGTAAGGAAAACCGCTAATCATTCAATTAATTAATCGATTTGTAGTAGGCAATACAATTTGGCCATCACTAAACAGTCTATGGTTGGGTCAGTGACTTGTTTGTTTACTTTTTGTTCAAAATGGATTGAAATGAAGTATAACCAATTTGGACCATTGTACTCTAAAAAAATGTGCAAAATGTTTTTAAACTGTTTTCTAAGAGACCCATGTCCAGAGTAGTGAGACGTAGATGAACTTACAGTGGCAAGCAACTGTTGCATGATCTCCGGCCGCCGTTGAAGCACCTCGATGAACATGTTGCTGGTCTCGGGAGGTGGCTGGCGCGGGTTGCCCACTTTATTGCTTGCTGAAAAAAAATTTAAGATATTAAAAACAGTTCGTCTGAAAGGAGAACAACCCAATCCCGTTTATAAAACTGTAGACCGTCGCAAGTTAATTAGTACGTATCATAGATTTTTGAAGTCGTTTTTTGGTTCGATCTTTGTATTAATAATTTTAACAAAGATACCGAACAAGTTAACCGCCTGGTGGTAAGGGACACACCTACCCATAACAGTTGCAGTGCCACTCAAAACTTTAATCGCAAAAAATCTGAGGGGCACTGCCACTGCGCCGGTCTGGCCTTACTGAAAACTATGAAATTATAATTATTAATACAAAGATAAATTAATAGTACGATATTATCTCCTGTATATTATATTTTTATTATATTATCTCCGGTATATTATCTCCTGTGTCAAGTTCCGTATAGTGGCGAACTAGGGGATGGATCCGGGTTTGCGCACTTTCCGGTAACCGATTTCAATAAAACTTGGCAAATACTCGTAGATGTAATTCCACGTACTTTTTTTAGTACTGTGTACTGAGATTATTACTTTTTCATTACGGTATACCTACATCCATACGATCACGCTGTTATTCCAAAGGGGTATTAAAGATTACCTGGAGTTTTTAACCAACCTCAAAAAAGTAGCAAGTCCTCAATTTACTACTTTTTTGTGTATGTTACACGATTATTCCAACATTGTTAACCGATTTCAATGATTCTTTTTTTATTGGAAAGGGGGTACCTCATTAGTCTCATTCAAATTTGAAGAAAATGTTCCACCTCTAAGGGCGGCAAATTAGGGGACGAATCCGGTTTATTGGATTTCACTCACTTTCCGTTAACCGATTTCAGTAAAGCTTGGCAAATAGACGTTTTTTTCTTATAAAAAAGTTATAGGTAATTATTATGAGTGAAAGCTGTATAAGCAGTGGTAGACTAATGTTTTGGCATACCGCCTCCCAAGTAGAGGTCGTGGGTACGTATCTGGGCTCGCACATCTAAGTTTCCCAGAATTTATCTGCGAAATTTATCGTAGTAATAAAAGTAATAGAACACTTAGCCGTAACCGTAGCGCCATCTATGAGAAATCTATGAAAGTATTTTGTCAACCAGTTAGGTAACTTTCCAGCTACCAACAATGGGCAGAGATGTCGCTATTAACTGTATTTTTGAAAATTTTATTGAATTGATATTCAATTATTTTTTTGTGAAATTACTCCACTAGTTTGTTATAATTATTAATACAAAGATACTGCCCGATCGATTAAATATGAAATGTATTCTTCCCTTTTAAATATATTTGGCCAGCAGGAAATTTTAGATGTCTGACCGTTTCTGAAAACCTATACTTTTTGAGTTCATACACTTTTTTATACCATCAAGTGACGGAACGAACAAGTCGTGCGCCTGATGGTAAGCTACACGCCTGTCCATAACAGTTGCAGTGCCACTCAGAGCTTTAAATCGCAAATATCCTGGGGGCGCGTTCCCATATCACGACTATCTGTCGTGGCTGTCTCGTGGACGATTATTTTATCGTTGAACGACGATCGTGTCTAGCTGTTCCCACTAGATCGTGACGACAATTTATCGTTTCACGGCAGCCGCCTTGTCGTTTGCACGACAGAGTCGTTTGATGCACTGCAATTGCTTCTTCAAGTTTCTGCAAGTGTTTTTTTTTCTACTATTATTACAGGCCAATTTCACTAGCAACTACTGTAGCTAAGGTGCTGGACAGTTTGCTTGACAAACAGTTGGACAAGCACATCCACCTGCATGACGCTCAGTTTGGATTCAGGCCGGGTTTATCAACTGAAAGTGCTATACTCTGTCTCAAGCAAACTGTTCAGTATTACACTGCTAGAAAAACACCAGTTTACGCCTGTTTTTTGGACCTGTCCAGAGCCTTTGACCTGGTTTCTTATGACAAGCTGTGGCAAAAGCTGAAATCCGAAACTGAACTCCCTCATGAGATTGTGTCAATTTTTAGGTATTGGTATAATCACCAGCGGAATAGGGTGAGATGGGCAGGGGAGTTCTCGGATGCGTATGGGTTGGAGTGTGGGGTGAGGCAGGGGGGGTTGAGCTCGCCCCGTCTCTTCAACCTGTACATGAACGAGCTCATCGTTCGGCTCGCCAGCGCCAATGTCGGTTGCTCAATAGACGGAGTGTGCGTGAATAACATCAGTTACGCCGACGATATGGTGCTGCTGAGTCCATCGGTGAGTGCTCTGAGAAAACTTCTGCGCATTTGTGTGTCGTACGCGGAGGCCCATGGGCTCAGATACAATTCAAAAAAAAGTGAATGTATGATTTTTAAAGCTGGTACCAAATGCTACTCTTCTGTACCCATTACTCTTTGTGGCACTGCCCTGAATATGGTACGTAAATTTAAATATTTGGGCCACTGGGTCACCGACGACTTGTGTGATTGCGAGGACATTAATAGGGAGCGTAGGGCGCTGTCCGTCCGCTGCAACATGTTGGCCCGTAGGTTTGCTCGCTGTACAAAACAAGTAAAGCTGACGCTCTTTAGGGCATATTGTCAGAGCTTTTACGCGTGCGGTCTATGGACTAACTTTACGCAGCGGGCGTACAGTGCATTGCGTGTACAGTACAACGATGCGCTCAGAGTTCTGTTGAAAATGCCGAGATTTTGTAGCGCCTCCGCCATGTTTGCGGAAGCTCACATTGATGACTTCTACGCTATAATACGCAAACGGAGCGCTTCACTACTGTTTCGCTTCCGGGCCAGCACCAACGGAATTCTGAGCGCTCTGTCCGAGCGCTGGGATTCGCCTATGACGTGCAGGTGGTTGCAGCTGCATGCCAGTGCATCCCGCTTTAGTAAGTAAGTAAATAGTAATTTCCATTTTCATTATTAATACTTTGAATTTTAGTTTATTTTTATTTTTGTTTTATATATTTAATTTTAGAAATTCTTATTTTCATTGTTTCAATTTTAATTATTAGTAATTGTTTCAATTTTAATTATTAGTAATCAATTTTAAAAGTTTATTGTATTTTTTAGCCTTAATTTACAAAATGTTTTCACTAATTTATTGTACTTAATTAAAAAAATTTGAATAGTAATTAATTTAAACTGCCTCTGTGGCCGAACGGTTACCATGCCGGACAGCCATGCAGACGTCTCAGGTTCGATTCCCGGGCCGGGAGAAATATTTGTATGGCCTACATTTATTTGTCTCGTGAGTTTGGGTGTAATTTGTAATTGTCTATTTGTGTGTCCATGGCACCCGCGACACAGGGTTTCCCTAGTGCGGGGCTATGTCGAGTGTGTGCGTTATTATTATTATTATTATTATTGTATTTGCTGTAATTTATAAATATGGGTCAAATTGCCTGAAATAAATGATTATTATTATTATTATTATTATTATGCTTTACCGAAGAAAATAAAGTTTTGTGTACATCCAATTTTATCAAAAAGAATTCCATTAGGATTATGTCAAACGTTTATAGAGAACTGAAACGTGATGAGAGAAAATTTTGGGACTATTTAAAAATTTCGTATCTTGTAATAATATGTGTAATTAAATTTCAACAAAACCTAATTCACAACAAATATTTAGTCGTAAGAATTAAACCCGGCGTTAACAAAGCGCCGGGTTAATACCCGGGCCCATCTCTGGCTAGGATCCAACGCTAGTGCAAAGCGAGCCGAGGGCGCGGGGTACGAGAGGGGAGAGTGGGGAGCAGAACACGTGCAGACAAAGATAAATAAATCGTGACGACAATAGTAGCTGCGACTATCGGTCGTCATATTTTTTATCGTGACGTTTTATTTATCGTCAAACGACTGCCGTTCTAACTGATCCCATAATCACGACAGTCTGTCGTCGTCTGTCTCGTGAGCAGCTAGCACGTCTTAAAGCAGTCTAGTTGAGGGCCTGAAGCGAGGAGACACGCGGGCCACGTGAGTTGCCCTTTAAGTTGGAAGCTATGTCCGGACATTGTCGCAGGACACTACGACTGGCATCTCCGGTACTAGCCCGCAGAGCTAGTAGAGGAAAGCATAGATATCCTCCGGTCCCTCCAGCCGCTTAGGTTATTGGGAACTGGAGAGACGTCGTTTTTCGGCGTCGGGAAGTGAGCGTGTCTTACAGCTCCGCCACCAGTGAGGAGATTTGGTAGTGGACTCAGAGTCGACAGCTTAGCAGTGGCAACCGCTAGTTGTGCAATGCGCAACGGGAAGTGAGCGTGCCTACAGCTCCGGTACCTATATGGAAAATAGGAAGGGTACTGTACGTGCACCCGAGGAGGCTCACCCGAGACACTAGCCTCTCGAAGAACCGGATGAAGTCAAGTGACAGAGGTCTGTGACTACCCTGTACACTGGCTCATGTTAGGTCAGAACCTGAACTTGCAAGGTTTCTGTGCGCGCACAGGTCATAGTGCCCTTCTCGTATGCCCTAAGGGTAGATAGGGAGAGTCATTATAATCAAAACTAACGTAGAAAGATATGGAGCTAGTCTGTCGTCGTAACGACAAAAAAGAAATCGTGAACGACAGTTAATCGTGTCGTTTTATATGTGAACAACTTCATTTAAATATACAAGTCACGACACTGTACTGTCACGACATACTGGGAACGAGCCCTGAGGGGCACTACCACTGCGCCCGTCACCCTGAGACGTAATTTAGCAAGTCCCAACGGCCTGTAATTTCACCAGCACCCTTACCCTTCAAAACCGGAACTCAGTACTGCTGACATTACTGCTTGGCGGCAGAAATAGGTAAAGTGGCAGTACTGTTCTGGACGAACTCTTTCACAAGAAGCTCTACTGCTACTTATTCTATGTATAATGCGATATGTTACAAGAAAAAAAACCCAATGATAACTTACATTTCTGTACTAATTGCTTAAATAGATAAGTGACTATATGGTCCAGTGTGGCGCAGCAGCCAGTACATACACTCGTATCTGAAATTAAAGTATAATATATAACGACGCGGTATTAATATAGTTCATTTCGGATAACCAATAGTCGGTAAAAGGTGTTCCACATAATATATAGCATCATGAATATAACAAGAATACGTAAATTTGTGTGGAATCTAGAGCCATGTCGTCTTTCCATACGTCTTTTATCTAACACGTAGTCTTCAATTTTGTAATATGACTTTTCAATCAAATTATTTTTAATGTAGTTTTTAAACTTAGGAAATGATAATCTTAATATACTAAATCGTATTGTAAAAACGTATACAGTTCGCCATAAAAGAGACCAAACTCATGGTACTACGATTTCGTTTAACCAAGGTATTGGTTAAAAAATCGTGATTTCGTTTAACCAAGGTATTGGTTAAAAAATCGTGGTGAGTTTGGATTTAGCTCTGAGGTTAATATTATGGATATCTTTTTTCTTTTTGAAATATATGTATATATTTTTACGGGCATATAAAATATAAAATTAACAAGAACGATACGTTAAAGAAACGATTATACACTAACCTAAAGCAGTAAGTCCTTCAGATATAGAGCATAAAATATAAAGAGTGGCTTCCGGCTGTAGATTAGCAAGGAATGGCATGTGGTCTTGAGCAAGCCGTTCTAATAAGACGTAGTACGTTTGTGATAGCTTCGGATAATCCTGAAAAGGAATTCATTGGTGGGTATAGTACATTATTATAGAGGCCGGGAAGTAAGGGATTGCTGGTTGAGTTACAAGGTATTAATACGAGTCAAGCAATCCCCGTTTCCGCCGAGGCTTACATAGTTATTTTCTCAAACAATGTGCGGAAAAATGTCAATAAAAATTAAAAGTAATATTTGACATATTATATATTTTTTTAAAGTTTATGGCCTGGTTACAAGATCTTTAGGCCAAGTCCTATTTTAATGAGAATTCTTGATTTAAGAGAATATTTGACATAGTATTTGCTCTTCTCACTAGAACTTATTTTCGCGATGAAAAATGATTACAAAAATATACCCATGCACTTTAGTCATTGAGTTAATGTACTTGATGACACACGTGGCAGTTGGCAGTATGAGTTTTCCTTTTGCCTGCTTACATAGTTAATCTAGTAGGTATATTTAAAAGTTTAAAGAAGTGGACAGTAATGGATTTTCATGCATACTTTGCAGGCCTTGACCGGAAAGAAGTCACACGGTCCATTAATGACAAACTTTCCATGTTCGTTTTTTTGAAAGTAATGCTAATTATTTCCGAACGTGTTTGAGAAATTTTTTTACGATATCAAGTGAGGGGACGATCAAGTCGTGGGATACGCCTAGGCCCCAATTCTATTAATTTTGAATCATCTCAGTTGTGTGTCGGTAGGGTGTCAATAGCTGGATTTTGTACGTTTAGTATTCTGCTAAAAGTTAAAAGCAGTCACGTGCCAGTGGAATCCATCCAAATACTATTTAACTGACATTGCAATTTTTTGGTATTCTGCTCTTCAATGGCGATTGGATGACTCGTCGTATCGTTTCTACACACGAACTGTGTACACTGCCTCTCCGCCGGACAGGAAAAAATCTTGTCTACCCCCGACACGACGCGCTCTGCCGCTATTGTATGAAGTAGGTTGAGGTGAGTGTCAGTAAACGAACGTTTGCGCGTGGACGGGTGTTGCTTAGTAGTCACCATATACAACAACATATTTTCTTCCCACAGTCGGTAGTAAAACGACAGTTACCAGCGACTCATAATGCACTGACACATTTTACCATACACACGTCTACTGTACGAAAGCATTCATATCGTGTACATACTCATCATTTTCTCGTCTGCAACAGACACGACTTGTTTTCCTGGCTAGATCCGACAAAGTTCTTGTCGTGTGCAAGAAAGACCATTCTCATCTTTAAAACAAACACAAACTTTCGTAAATTTTTGTGCCCACTCCCGCAAGATTCATAGTATTTGACTGTTGGTTCTGGTTTCGGTGTTCATAGTACAGCGAATTCGGTAGCAACTGCTGTAGTTGTCTGACACATTATTGGTATATATTTCGTTTCAATCCATTTTGAACAACATGTAAACAAACAAGTAACTCACTTGACCATAGACGGTTTAGTGATGGCCAATTGTAATGCCAACTACAAATCGATTAATTTCGAATCGATTTGTTTTATTGAGTCATACTAGCTGTTTTCCCTATATAACCTATAAAAGCATATTTATATTTCCAAAATCTTAATTTCAAATCCTCCTTCGAATCTTTACACTTCGATATTCGTTTAATTGTGATTAAATTTTCAATTCACTAATCCTTTACAAAAACTTTAATTGAATAAACCGAATGAGTTATTTCCTTACAGCCCTATGCAACCATAGACTATTCACTCACATTTTTCAAATAAGATTTTAATTGCGATCTAAATTTTCAAATTACTAATCGATTACAAAAACTTCAACTGAATGAACCGAGTGTTTTTTTCCGTACAGCACTATGCAACCATAGACTAGGCATAGATGTATAGATGTAAAATAACCTCACTTTTGGACTACCATTTTTAAAATACAATTTTCCGATGCTATTCAAATGAATATCGTTGGGAAAAGTGATGAGATATCAAGTCGAAATCTTCGAAATATACGTGAAAGTGTTAATTATTCGATTTATTGAGTGACAGCTTTAGAATTTTAACCAAACAGTTTTGTTTACTTGTTACGAACGGTCGTCCGAGTGTGGCCGGTCAGAGCAATATGAGTAGAATTACGAGAATAATTCAGGGGCTCTTCTTGGCCAGATGGCACCCGCGGCGCATTGATAGGGTCGGTACGGTGTGGGAGACGCGTTTCGGCATAATTATATATATGACAATTTCGTAGAATTTTTTTTTTTTTTTTTTTTAATAACGCACACACTCAACATAGCCCCGCACTAGGGAAACCCTGTGTCGCGGGTGCCATGGACACACACATAGACAACCACAAATTACACCCAAACTCACGAGAGAAATAATTGTAGGCCATACAACTATTTCTCCCGGCCCGGGAATCGAACCTGGAACCTCTGCGTGGCAGTCCGGCATGGTAACCGTTCGGCCACTGAGGCAGTTTTAAATTTGCCTAAAGTTTTAAATTTGTAAAATTGTGCCTTTCCTATTTTTGACTTGTCAGATTACGGAACTAAGTCAGATAAGACATAGATCACGATTGTTAGGATAAGGTTTCAATCAAGAATAGAATTGAACACAGTCCACTTAAGTATAAGAAGCTTCATTAAACCGAAGATTACGAGGTTGAGTTGAGTTTGACGGTTTTAACCGGAATGCAACATTACTTTTTGTTTAAAATGGATTGGAATAGTAACTTAAAACTATAAAATTAACTCACCAGTAAATCGTTCTGCGGTATACTTAACAATAACTTGACAAACATGTTTAACGCGTTGTCTAGAGCCTCATCGCCGTATAACCTGAAACGAGAGTTATATTTAACCATGGAAAATAACCTTGAGATCTTTAACCAAAAATAGTATACGTGTACTATTTAGTTCAATTGATATTTAAAAAATCATTGTTATATGTAAGTACCTATTGAATATAACGGTTTTCTTGTAAAATTTCAAGGTAAGTTTGCGTATTTTTTTCCTATTGTCAAAATATTTAGGAGTCCTGTGTTCACACCGTATACTAATCAGTGTATATCATTCATTTTACTATATATTTATGCCAAAGTGATTGATTCAACACCTTCACTGTTATCCAGAATCAACCAAAGCCATTTGAGATTGTAAAGACTCTTAAATGTTGTGTAAAATTACAAATAACATTTTTAAGGTTTGTTTTGCTTTTCTTTTAATTTTCTTTAACCCCGATGTCCTAGGATTTTTTAGATACAAAAGCGCATTGCGTGTATTAGAGAATCGTGACATTATTTCGTTTTAATTATTAATACAAAGATCGAACACTCAGAAAAAATTCCTTCGATCCGGCCGTATTCGAACCGACGTCTTCTAGCATACCGTGCCAGACGCTATACCAACTAATCCACGGAACGAAGCAGCGGACCTTACGAATTTTTCTATGTGCTTGTTGTCGTGTCTTTGTATTTGGTTTTGTTAGAAAATTACGTTGTTTCAATAAGAATTATGTTTTATCGAAAGAAGAAATAAAACAAAGGTTATTAACGGAACGCTGATGAGCGACCGCCATTGCGAAAAACATTTTTGACTGTTTTTTTAACCATAATAATCGGTAAAATGAGCGCCATCTAGTTGATTTGTTTGTTATCACAACAAACTAGAGCAGCTTTGATAAATTGCAGCTTGGCAATGTAAAACAACACCGACAGAGAACTAAGGTCACCGACATAGCTCGTGCAGCAAACTGAAGTGGTAGTGGGCTGGCCATATCTGCCGAAAAACCGATAACCGATGGGGAAAACGAGTTCTAGAGTGGAGACCGCGACTCGGCAAACGCAGTGTAGGACGCCCTCCGGACAGGTGGAGTGACGACCTGCGAAAATTTGCTGGCGGGAAATGGATGCGACAAGCTGAGGACTGGACGAAATGGCGCACATTGGGGAAGGCAATGGACTGCGATAGGCTGATTATGAATATAAAACAAATTAGTTACAGAAATAGCTATCTATTACTCGTTGCCACAACGGGTACCATTAAGTATAATACCCGACTACGTTGTCTTGTATTGCGATAAGTAGTTCGCTTGTACATGTAGAGATAAAATTATCCCTGTGACATTTGGGTTTGTCATTTCTCGGATTCCGAACTGGGGGTCTACTTTCGATCTCCGTCCGACATCCGTCCGAAACAATTGCTGTCAAATAAGTAATATTCGACAAAATTAAAAGACAAGTAGCAAGTATGAAGCGTCATTCGCATCACGCGGCTTTTCATTTGGTCAAGTATTGCTTATTTGGCAGTAATTGTTTCGGACGGAGATCGAGAGTAGACCTGTGTAGTTTTTTTTCTATACTTCAAGCCTATTTGAAATAATTCTGATTTTTCGAGCATTAAAACTTTTGCTTAAACTTAACGTATAAGAGAAGTCAGTGCTATTAAAAACCTTTATTACCGCCTGGACGGTAACGTAATGAAGCCCGTGGGCGTAATTCAGCACATTACAGCCGACTGCCTGCATGTTATTTCACTATTTACGAGCAAGTGCGATAAAATGATATTTGAGTTAGAAGTTTCTCACCTAAATACTCCGAAATTAGCGTAGTTACCGCAGAGCGCCGCCTTCAGTATGGAAAAGCAGAGAGATATGCCTTTTAGTTTCATTGCGTACATTTGTTTCTTGCTTACGTCTATTGTTAATATCCGGCTGCCTGTAATGAAAATCATAGTTAAATTTGTAGGTAAAACTGTTTTTGAATATGTAGAAAATAAAATTATAGTCTTTTTTGAAGATGGAGTCAATTTTTTTTATAGCCCCGCACTAGAGAAATCCTGTATCGCGGGTGCCATGGACACACACATAGACAACCACAAATTACACCCAAACTGACGAGAGAAATAAATGTAGGCCACACAAATATTTCTCCCGGCCTGGGAATCGAATCGGACCGTTCGAATGGTAACCGTTTGTCAATGACACAACAAACTGGTCCGAAGGACACTTTTGTGCAATGAACTTCATTGCACAAAATTGCCTTAGGACCAGTTTTGCCATTGATTTACACCATATTATACCGATTTGGTTAGAGTATACCAACCTATACCTACCACTCGTACACATGGGTTCAGCAGTGCATCCTACTAACTGTAAAAACTTACCATAAGCACATATGATGTTGGACAGCTCTCGGAACAGCAGTATTCCATTAGGTGACGATACGTCAAAGTGTAATCTTTGATTTCTGTTCTGCGCCAACTCGGTAGTCAGCTTGAGGACTGGAGTGGTCACAGCGGGCTCGTTGAACCACAGTTCGACTCCACGGAGTAGAACTTTCGTGTAGCAAGGATAACTGTGAACAGTATTACCACTTTAATTGAACGTAGTTATACAAAAAGGATCCAATACACATCCAGTCACTTTTGACATATCGACTGTGAGCTGGCAACCGGTACTTTCTCAATTTTGATAACTTTACAGGTTTTATTTTCAAGACTTATAATGTCATGTAACTCCGGGGATATTTATTTATGTTTATATGTTGGATTTTTTGCCAATCTAAGAGGTTAGACTTTGTTAACTGTTTGGTACATATAACTCATTTTTTGATAATTTTCGACCGCCGCATTCGAGCCGAGGCATTCAAGAGATGATACTTACATCCAATCAAAAAGCATCATGTATGTAGTTTTTGCATTGAACGCGAAGGCTAAACCCCGTAGGTCCCTTGCGAGGCCTATGAGGGTCTTTTTCGCCTCTTCCGACGCGAAGATCGGACTCTCCGGAGGGCCGAGGAGACCGATAATGCTTTCGAACGCCGCTGAAAAGGAAAAAGAGACATACAGGGTTAAGTCATAAACAACAACTTGTGTTTCATTATTTTTTGTAAAACATAATAAATTTTTAAGTTTTTGTTGTAATATCTGACATTTTTTAACTTGTATTTTATTATATATTATTAATAAGTTGTTTAGCAAAGCCTCCTACGTGTTTTCTTTTGCTACTGCATAGTGTTTTCACCGTTTAGAGGTGAGATGAGACCACCTTTTGTAAACCATATCGACTGTGATCTGGCAACCGATACTATCTCAATTTTGACAACTTTACAGCATGAATAAAAATCATTTATATAGCCTCTGGTTTATTAAATAAAAATATGTAGTATACATACATAAATGTGTAATAAAAATATTTAAAAACTACGTATTTTTATTTAATAAACCAGATGCTACATAAATGACCCAAACAATTTTTCTCTTCATCCTGTAAAGTAGTCAAAATTGAGATGGTACCGATTGCCAGTTCACAGTCGATATTTTAAGCAAATAAATATCATTAATTCATTCATTCTTTAAAATGTGCTATAGTAAAAAATAGTATTTGGCACTTAAGCATCTTTACCATTCACCTACAGATGTTATAATCATATCCATCTATAATTTGTCTTTTTTGAAGACGGAGTAAAATGACAGCTCAGTTGCGCAAAAGTGTTGCCCGCGTGCGAGCAGCTTGTGGTTGTAGTCGATAACTTTATGGTTCTTCCACGTTTATGGAATAAACAAAAGCCGAACTTGTTTCATTTGAATCAACCGCGACCCGTTATTCATCCAATTACTGAGCACAAGTTCATTTGAATTGTCAATTTTTGTAAGTACATACATACATACATACACTGTATTTAGAACTATTTGTGAAATATACAAAGAGGAGACATATTTTAAAGTTATTCATTTTAATTCAATATACGTAGGGCGCACTATAAGTTTCCGGAACTGGCCACTTACATAAACAATATTTAAAAAGTAATTACAACATTTGAAAATGGAACTCTTTGGCTATAGAATACAGTGTTGTTTCATCTGACTGTCACTTGTTTTTATATTGTGGCGTCATTTTAGAAATTGGTTGTCTACATCAGCATGGATTTAACTTGTGACAATTTTCGTAGTATGATTTTCTATGACTTTCAAGTGTAAATTAACAGCTCAGCGGAGCTTCGCTTGGCTTCAGACTGCTTTTAGCGATGAAGCACCATGCAAGACGACTATTTATAGCCAGTCTGCAGAGTTCAACGCGGTCGTGAGAATCTCAGTGACGAATTTCGTGATGGTCGCCCGTCCACTGCTGTGAACAACAAAAGCATCGATGCTGTGCACCGTATGATAAAAACAGACAGGCATGTGACACACCACGAGATTCGAGCATCTTGAGGCATAGGCATGAGTCAAATCCAATCAATACTACACAAACATTTGTGTGTGAAAAAGCTGTGCTCTCGGTGGATCTCACACAATTTGACTGAGGCTCAAAAAACGGATCGCGTCACTTGGTGCAATACCGTGCATACCAGATTCAACTAAGGGGCGTCAAATATGGTATGGGACATAGTAACAGGTGACGAAACATGGATTTATAGTTACGATCCCAAAACAAAGCAGCAATCGAGCGTATGGGTCTTTCGAGATGAGCCGTAATCAACCAAAGTGGCGCGCGTGCAAAGTGCCTCTAAGCGGATGATAGCATTTTTTTTAAACAAAACTGGACACGTGGCTACTGTTGCTTTGGAGAATCGTTGTATCGTGAATTGTGATTGGTACACGACCATTTGTTTGCCGGAAGTTATTAACAAATTCCGTAAAAATAACAGTAAACGCCGTATCATCTTGCACCACGATAATGCCAGTTCTCACACGGCCAGACAGAAAAATGAATTTTTGAAGGTGAACAACGTTGACCTTATGAGCCATCCCGCGTACAGTCCCGACCTGGCACCTTGTGACTTTTATTTATTTCCAAAAATTAAGAACCAGTTACGCGGTCAACGATTTTCACCACCTGAAAAGGCTGTCGAAGAGTATGAAAAATATGTCTCAGAGATTGTCACGCGATAAATGTTTTCAAAATTGGTTCATTCGTATGAAAAAGTGCATTAACGCTAACGGAGAATATTTTGAGAAACAATAAATTCATTTCTGACCATTTGTAGTATTTTTTTCTTATTCATTCCGGAAACTTATAGTGTGCCCCACGTAATACAGAAACTTAATAATTAATCTACACGACTCGCACTTGTCGGCGACGTGTGGTAAATATTTACTGTGTTAAATATTTTTAATTTTGTACGAAAGCCAAATATGATCAATTATTAAAAGTCACTCCAGTGTAATTTTCTTACAATAAATAGAAATTATTTGAGATTCGCAAAGTGCATATGCGGATCCGGCCTTTCAGAGCCCTATTTACTCACTTTTTACAAATACTTGGGTATTTTTTTAATTTAAAATGGAAGTACTTATAAGTGGTACTAGTTACCACATCACTATTTTCTAGGCAAGGTTCATCAAGAAAAAGTGGCGGGCTTTTGAAGTTACAACTAGTCTTTACAAACATTATTTTTATTATATAGATTTTAAGACTTTCGTGGTTATTCACTAAATGATTATCACTAGTAACAGGTTTCTTACCACGGTATAACTTCTTTTTATTTTCCCGATATTTCGGAACGGTTGCACGCTCCATGGCACGCATTATTTTTATTGTAAGTATATTATGAAGAAAAAACGTAGAAAGAAATAGTGATGAACAAAATTACAACTATATTCCTTATTTTAAACAAAATTACGAAAAAATTTAATTCCACCAATTACGAATTCAAAGTTTTTGTTCAAAGTGATAGAAGATAGTGTAATTTAAGTGAAAGTAAAACATAAATACTGACTCAAGCCGCTTAAAAGACTACGTAAAAACCCCAAATAAGTGAACTACGTTACTTAAGAGAAATTGAAAACATAATGTATTAGTTATTATTCGTTTAATTATCAGGATACTCTGTAATATTTTCCATAGTGGTTACTATGGTAAATATTACTATTTTTATTGTAACATTTTCCATAGTGGTTACTATGGAAAATATTACAGAGTACCCTGATAATTATTATTATTAATACTTAATAAATTATTATTAACGGGAATCATAATTAGTAATAATAATAATTATGATTCCCGGCCTGGGAATCGAACCCAGGACCTCTGCATGGCAGTCCGGCATGGTAACCGTTCGGCCACGGAGGTAGTTTAATAAAATGGCGGAATAAAATCCGCGTGAACTCCGCAGAAGCCAACCGTGCGTTCATTGTAGGTGACTGTTGACTAAATCAAATACTAGATTCAGAGCACTGCGTATTCTACGCTGCGGAATAATAATAATAATAAATTACTAAACTCACCTGTAAGTGGCATCATAAAAGCGTGAAACTTTTCCTCATCTTCCCCCAGTTCCACCATGAGTAACCTTCCTAAAGCAGTGTAAAGCATAGTGCGACATCGCATCTCTTCCGTTCGTGTGCTGGACATATCTCCTACGCCTGTGATGCCGAGGAAGGGGAAGTGCTCTGCCTGAAACCGTATTGAGTACTTGAAGACTTTTTTTTAAGACAAAGTGACGGGACGAATAAGTCGTGCGCATGGTAAGAAACATGCCTAGACATAACATTTAGGGAGCATTCCAATTACGTCGTGACGACAGATAGTCGTGCAGTGTAAAGTGTCGTTGTTTGTATATTTAAATAAAGTTCACATGCTGTACAACACGATTAACTGTCGTTCACGACTTTTTTCACGTTACGACGACAGACTGTCAAGATATAACGTCACGATAAAAAAAGGCTATTATTCAACACTACAACGATACATAAAAACTTAAAATAGTGGCTTAACACCTAAATCTGTGTTGAAGAAAAGGTAACAGCCTCAGCAATTTGCTGGTTTTCAGGCTTCACTTTGTATATAATGTAAAGTACAAGTCTAGAATGTGACGACAGATAATCGCAGCTACTATTGTCATTTTATTTATCGTTGTCCGCACATGTTCTGCTCCCTACTCTTCTCTCTCCCATCCCATCTCGTCATTCATCTTCATCCATTTCCATTTCATAAGGGATCGAACACACATTACTGACTTCCAAACGAACATAGAAAGGCGACTGCTGTACATCAAACGATTCTATCGTGCAAAGGACAAGGCGGCTGCCGTGAAATAAATAATTAACATTATTAATACAATGATCTAACATTTAGAAAAAATTCGATCCGGCCGGATTCGAACCGACGTCTTCTAGCATACTGTGCCAGACGCTATACCGACTAAGCCACAGATCAAACCGGCGGACCTTAAATTGGATTTTCAATGACTTTTAGCCGTAGCGCCATCTATGAGAAATCCATGAAAGTATTTCGTCACTCAGTTAGATACCTTTACAGCTACCAGCCCCGGCTAACTTAACTTATTCAATTTTTTATTGAATTTGCATTCAGTTATTTATTATGTGAGATTACTCCACTAGTTTGTTATAATATACATATAATGGCTTAGTTGGTATAGCGTCTGACACGGTATGCTAGAAGACGTGTCGGTTCGAACCCGGCCGGATCGAAGGAATTTTTTCTGAGTGTTCGATCTTTGCATTAATAATTATAACAAACTAGCGGAGTAATTTCACATAAAGAATATTTGAATATCAATTCAATAAAAAAATAAATAAATTATCGTCACGATCCAATAGGAACAGCCAGACACGACAGTCGTTCAATGATAAAAAAATGCACGACACAGTCAGGCTGGAAGGGCCTGTCGTCCAACGATAAATAAAACGTTACGACGTAATAGGAATGCTTACAGTGCCTCTCAGAGCTTTAAATCGTAAAGACCTGAGGGGCACCGCCACTGCGTCTGAAGGTCTTAAAAAGAATACATACCGTATGATGAGTGAGCATAAACTGCACCTCTTCCAACTTCACCAGTTTTCGTACGCAAGAATAGCCGCCACTCAGGTCGCTTAGCAGACCCAATGTTCGAGATATTATTTGTTCTGAGCCACCCCAGTACTTTAGATTTGTTATTCTGCAAAATATTAGTTACACAAAACTTACTCAATCACGACGACCTCCGTGACCGAGTGGTTCGCACACGGTTTTCACGGTGTCGCCATCTCTGAGGTCCCGGTTCGATTCCCGGCTGGGTTAATGGAGAAAAACTAACTTTTCTATATTGTCTCGGGTCTGGGTGTATGCGGTACCGTCGTTGTTTCCGATTTCCATAACACAAGTGTTTTAGCTACTTACTTTGGGATCAGAGCCATCTATATGATGTTCTCTAATATTTATTTATTATTAATATTATTTTAAAATGTTAACAAACAAGCCGTGCACCTGGTGGCAAACGAAACGCCTGTCTATAACAGTTCTAGTACCACTCAGAGAGACGTAAGTTGACAAGTCCCATATGCCCGTAATTTCACCAGCACCCTTAGCGAACACTTACAGGAGGAGGAAATTTTCGCGCGGCCGCAGCGCGGCGACCGCCCAGTTATCACGCCTTCATGTACATTAATGAATCTGAATTCTATTTACACATTTACACTCGTCGGAAGACTACAAACGCCACGTAGATCAAAAACAAGCCACTCGCCCGCGTGGCCGGCACGCTCATTTAAGTTAAAACGTAAATAGAGCGTATTTTGCCATGACAATTAGACGCACACGGTCGCTGGGCAATAAAATTCGTGTCGAATAACATTACTGCTTGGCGGGAGAAATAAGGTGGCAGTACTTCCCTGGACGGACTCTTTCACAAGGAGCTCTACAGCAAATTTACCAAAATAAGACCTTTTACTAACTAAAAGAATACATTTTAGAAAATATTTCTTAAAAACGAAATACCAAGTACATAATTTGTAAAACTGAATGGCCAGACACAAGTCTATCAGGAATGAGACCTGAATGCAAAAGGTATTACTAACATTTATTATTGATATTGCCTAAAATTCTGTTTAGTTATTTTAAAAAAATCATTACTAATTTTATTTAAATAATGAAGAGTTTTTCTAATTTTAATTTTAATAATGTATATGTTTTAGTAAAGTAAGGACGTAGTGCCCTCAGAATGTTGCAGTGCCCCCACGGGGAGTTACATGTTTTTTTTTTTTTTTTTTTTTTTTTTTTATTAAAAATGGACGAACTCTTGACCACTACCTAGCCCTAGAGCAAAGATGAGGTCTACGTTGGTACGAGCTCGCCCAGGAGATGCCTATTCAATCGCACCTTGAAAATATTCGGGTTGTATGTACTCGGAAAAATAGACGCAGGCAGGGAATTCCAGTCACGGGCTGTGCGCATTATAAAAGATGACGAAAAGCGCTTAGTACGACTTAAAGGAATATCAACCAGGTGAGGGTGATATCCCGCCGTTCGTCTAGATGTCCGATGGTAAAAGGGGGCGGATGGAATGAGCTGGTGGAGCTCATGGGCACACTCTCCGAAGTATAATCTGTAAAAAACCGACAGACCCGCGACCTTTCGCCGATGGGCTAAACTATGAAGTTTATATTCGAGCTCATCGTCGCCAATAAGCCTTCTGGCTCTGCGATCAATCGAGTCAAGAGCCTCTAGTTGGTATTTCGCTGAGCCATCCCACAGGTGACTGCAATACTCCATGCAAGACCGGACCTGCGCTTTATATAAGGTTAAAAGCTGTCCAGGCGAGAAGTATCGCTTCACCTTGTTAAGGATACCCAGCTTCTTGGCTGCAGTTTGTGCTTTAGACTCTATAGAAGCGCCAAAGTTGAGGTTTGCGCTTAATGTCATGCCAAGAAGCTCTAGGCGGTCGGTAACTGGGACAGATACACCCCGAAAAGTAGGAGTCAGATCAAATGGACTCCTTTTTGCGGAAAAAAGACAGGCCTGCGTTTTGGTGGCGTTGAAGCTGACCAGATTGTTGTCACCCCACTGGGCAACAAGACTTAAGGTCAGGTTCGTTCGCTCTACCATAGCCTCTCTCAGCGAACGAATATCTTCCCTGCCGTCTCTTGCGCTAGACAGATATCTCTCGGTAACTGTACTGTCATCTGCATACCCAACTATACCCGGGACCAATAGGTCATTGATGTGTAGCAGGAAAAGAGTCGCCGAGAGAACAGACCCTTGAGGAACTCCAGCATCAATAGCCATCAAGTCAGATGAGCAGCCTTCAATGACTACTCGAATCGACCGTTCCCCAAGGAAATCTGATATCCAGCTGCAAAAGTCGGCAGGGATGCCGTAAGCAGGAAGCTTGCTCAGCAAACTTGCATGCCAAACCCTGTCGAAGGCCTTTGAGATATCGAGCGATACGGCCAGTGCCTCACCGTGTTTCTCGATGGCCTCGCCCCAGCAATGCGTAACATACACGAGAAGATCCCCAGTTGATCGTCCCCGGCGGAAGCCATATTGACGATCACTGAGTAGGTCATTTATTTCAAGGTATGATAGCAGCTTACCGTTCAGAACTCTTTCCATAACCTTGCAGAATATGGAAGTTATGGCGATTGGTCTGTAATTACAGGGGTCGGCGCGGCTTCCCTTTTTAGGGACTGGTTGCACATTTGCAAGCTTCCATGATTTAGGCACTATTCTCGCTTTTAGTGAGAGGCGGTACAGACACGTCAGTACAGGAGTTAGCTCAGGCGCGCAAAGCCTCAGTACCCGTGCTGGTATACCATCAGGACCACTGGCCTTATTCACATCTAGACTTCGCAGAGCTCTACGAACCTCTTTTGCGTGGATTGTGACCTCCGGCATTGAAGTGTCACAACGAGGTAAATTTGGTGGATGTTTTGAGCCTGCATCTAGATGCGAATTGCTTGCAAACATTGCAGCAAATAAGTTTGCTTTATCCGTTGCAGAGTGAGCCAGTGATCCGTCAGGTTTCTGCATGGGAGGCAAGGTGGGACGGCAGAAGTTGGATTCAACTGCTTTGGACAGGGACCAGAACTGCTTGCTACCAGGAGGGTAGGATGCAAGCCTGGTCCCGATCCTGCTGATATGGTTGAATCTAGCCTTCCGGAATTCGCGTTTGCAGGACTTGGCGGCAGAATTAAAAGCTCTCTTTCTCGCGCGAACCCTCCGGGCTCGAACTTTGCGGTCGCGAGCTTGTACCCATGCTTGGTAAGCAGACTGCTTACGGGCCTCAGCACGTGCGCAGTCCACGTTATACCAAGGTCGGGCTTTGTGACCCAGTGGAATGTCGGAGAATGGAATAAAGTACTCCATTCCCTGCCGGATCACATCTGCAACCGCATCAGCAGAACACGAGGGATCACCCGAGGAAAAGCAGACTTGCCGCCAAGGATAAGACGCAAAGAAGTGCCGCATCTCATCCCAATCTGCTGACTCGTATCGCCATACTCTTCTTGTACCTCTTGAACAGTCATCAGGAGGAGAGTAAGTCGACACGGATTTCACCACACAGTGGTCGGATGTTCCCAGCGGTGCCGAGATCGAAACCGAGTGACCGTGTGGATCTGTTGTCAACAGAAGGTCCAAACAATTGGCTGCATGTCCGTCAACATCCGGTACCCGCGTTGCTTGGCTTACCAGCTGGGTGAGATTTAGCGATAATGCAAATTTGCGCGCCTCCCTCCCAGCATGGTCTGTTTTTACGTACGGAAACAGCCACTCACTATGGTGAGCATTAAAGTCCCCGAGAAAAATAAGCTCTGCTGAAGGGTA